TATTAATATCTAACAAATATGGTTAATAAATATGATAATGTGAAACGTATAGTTAAATAAACTAAATTGCAACTACTTTAATAGTTTAATCTAACAACTTTTATATTGTTAATATTAATATCTAACAAATATGGTTAATTAATATGATAGTGTGACAAGTATAGTAGAATTAACTAAAATGTAACTACTTTAATCTAACAACTTTAATATGGTTAATATTAATATCTAACAAATTTGGTTAATTGATATGATAATGTAACAAGTATAGTAAATGCAATTTAAATGCAACTACTATTAACCATTTCAAATGTAACTAAAATGATAATAATATAATTTGAGAATGTAACAAATAATATAAAATGAGAATGTAACAAATATTAAAGTTGACAAAATGAAAATGAAAGAAAATGAAACTGTAACTAGTATTAATAGGATAAATTTCACTAATATTAATGAAAATGTAACTAATAGGATAATAATTAATGGGAGGGGGTAACTAATAGGTACAAACTATAAATTATACTTTAATTAACGAATATGTAATGTAATGTTAATAGTATATAATATATAAGTATACTACTATAAGATGATTAGTACACTTATATTTATTTCTTTAGTATATATAGTTAATATATAAGTAGATATAATATATGTAAATATAAGTAGATAATAAGTATATATTAAGTATAAAAGTGGATATAATATACGGAGTATGTAAATATAAGTAGACAATAAGTATATAAGTAGATATAATAGTTGTATAACTAATTTAAATAGATATAATATATATTAATAGGTGTAGAGAAAATTGGAGAAGATGAAGATGATTAGAGAGTATTAGAGAGTAGGAAGAATAGGTGTAGAAAAATGTTTAGAAAATATATGTATTTATAGTTTTTTTATCCCCCAAACCCCTCAACCTGCCGCCCCCCAACGGCTCTATAGCCGTTGGCAACGGTAGCAACCAGCCCAAAAGCCCCAAAAGATTTAAAGCCAGTTTTTTTTTTGAGTTGTTGACCGTCAGGCCCGGATCAGGCCCGGCCGGGCCGGTCCACTAAAACAAGAGCCCAATGCTCGCCTGCTTCTTTCACTGGGCCGGGTACCGGTCCCGGCCAACCGGGTCAGGCCTGGCCTAAACAATGACAGGCCAGACTGGGCAGCGAGTTGGGTAGGCCTGTCCCAGTCCATCCCTACATTGGGTAAGCCTAAGACTTGTTTCTAATAGAACAGCACACGCATAAAGGGGAAAAAGAAACATCCAGTCCACTAGGGGAGAGTATCAAGTATGGACTCGAGCAGTGTTTGCAAAAGTTTAAAAAATACTCAATAATTAACTGCTTTGGCTCATGTTTTTACTTAGACTGTAATTTGCTGATCTGGTATGGTCTGGTCTGGTCTGTATTGGTCTGGTCTATTTTGGTCTGATCTGGTCTGGTCTGATCTGGAATTTTATTTTTCATATTTTTTGCATAAAGATTTTATTTTATATATATATATATATATTATAATCCATAAATAATTTTATTTTATTCATTTATAATTACAAATAATAATAACAATAACAACAACAACAACAACAACAACAATAATAATAATAATAAAACCAACAACAACAACAACAACAACAATAAGATTGTTTTTACTTGGACTGTAATTCGTCCCAGACCAGACCAGACCAAAACAGACCAGACCAGAACAGATCAGACCAGACCAGCAAATTATAGTTCAAGTAAAAACATCCTAATAATAATAATAATAATAAGGGGTGTGCACTATCCGGTTTAAACCGGAAAACCGAACCGGACCGGACCGGAAAAACCGGAACCGGATCGAACCGGAATGATATCCGGTTCGGTTCGGTACGGTTCGGTCCGATTTGAACTGGTGCACACCCCTAATAATAATAATAATAATAATAATAATAATAATAATAATGATGATGATGATAATAATAATAATAATAATAATAATAATAATAATAATAATAATACTCCGTAATAATAATAATAATAATAATAATAATAATAATAATAATAATAATAATAATAATAATAATAATAATTAGGGGTGTGCACTATCCATTTTAAACCGGAAAACCAGACCAGACCGGACCGGAGAAACCGGAACCGGATCGAACCGGAATGATATCCGGACCGATTCGGTACGATCCGGTCCGGTTTTGAACCGGTGCACACCTATAATAATAATAATAATAATAATAATAATAATAATAATAATAATAATAATAATAATAATAATAATAATAATAATAATAATAATAATAATAATAATAATAAAATAAGGTCTGGTCTGATCTGGTCTGGTCTGGTCTGGTCTATTTTAGTCTGGTCTGGTATGGGAAAAATTACAGTCCAAGTAAAAACAACCTAAGTCAGCTAAAAGTAGTATGTTTTAATAAGAAAATTTTTTGCTTAATTTAAGCTAAAAGTTTCAAGTTGGGATACACATGTTTTTATCTACGTTTTTTTGTACATAAACCCAACTTTTAGGATAATTTTATTCGTAAAGATATTAATGAATCAAAAAGTACCCTTCATTCCAAGCATTATTTGAGCTGTCGCCGGTTTGCAAGAATCCTCTTTGTACAAGGACCGCCTCTGATGTGCGCCACTGTCACTCTATTATGTTCTGAATTTTAAATTGGAGTGTATTTTAAATGTGATTCAATTTAAATGTGAAGAATGAAGATGATTTTTCTATTATATATAACCCCCAAGTAAAACAAATAAAAATGTATAGATAGGAACTCCATGTCTCCTCGAAGTAAAAATGTAGTCAATTAATAAAAATGAAAAATATAATATATGATCAAACACATACATGGGTGGTTACCATACTTAACTAATTCCTTATTGATAGTGCCGTTACCACTCATGGAGCATTAGTGCATGACATTAAGATGTTAGATTAGAAATAAAAATAGTGGAGTCATATATTAGGAAAGATATACGTAGTATTGTTTTAGTAATATTAATAATTTTATGAAAATCGCAAAGTTTGTTAGTATGACATAACAACATATTTCATTGAGCATCAAACCTCATCTATTGAAATGATAGAGCATATAACCTCATCTATTAGAATGAAAATCGCAATTTCTGTTAAATGAGCATTAATGAACTTTTAATGTGCATTGGATCTATTATGATTTATGAGCATTACAACACTTTCGATGAACATCATACTTATTAGGAACCTACCAATATATAATAAAATTATAAATATATTTATATAAATTAATAGTATGATTCCTAGATCAAAATAAGTACTTCAAAAATATGAATTAGTCTTTAAATATGGTAATAATGAGCAAAAGCAAAGAATAGTTAATATTATAATTACTATTAATAAACGATTGTAGTATGGAGTATGAAATACGTAGGATAAGTAAGATAAAAGAACGGATTTGGTCATGAAGGCAAGTTGGCGAGATGGTTGGAAGGCTGTATATTGAGAAGCTGTTCTCTTCGTATTAATCTTATTACTTATTCCTTATTCTTATTTTATTCAGATCAGATCAGATCAGATCAGAAAGATTCAGATCAGATCAGATCAGAAAGATTCAGATCAGATCAGATCAGAAGCATTCAGATCAAATCAGAAGCATTCAGATCAGATCAGAAGCATTCAGATCAGATCAGAAGCATTCAGATCAGATCAGAAGCATTCAGATCAGATCAGATTAGTTCAGAAATTATTATTACTGTTATTATTACTATTATATAATATTATATATTACTGTTATGTTTTACGGAGTAATTTTTAGTATTGATTTTTTAATAAATGCTAAAATTGAGTACTCTGTACCAATCCATCTAATCTAAATATATAATACTGTCACCATTTGATCGAGAAGAATGAATTGAAGTACAAACATTTATTCAATATCAACTTGCGATTATGGTATCAACTTTCGCACTGCACAACTTTATCCGTCTTTACGAGTTGGATATTCCAATTTCAAGTGCAATCAAATATTTTTATTATTATTAAAAAGGTTATTAATATCACTACTTATTATTATTATTATTATTATTATTATTATTATTATTATTATTACTACTACTACTACTACTATTGTTATTATTATAATTATTATTATTGTTACGGACTATTATTTTTATTATACTTATTAAATAATAATAATAGTTATTATTACTATTATAATTAATATTGATGTTATTATTATTATTGTTATTGTTATTGTTATTATTCTTATTATTATATACCAATTTAGAAAGTTAAGATCAGATCAGAAGGATTCAGATCAGATCAGAAACATTCAGATCAGATTAGAAACATTCAGATCAGATCAGAAACATTCAGATCAGACCAGACAGATTCAGATCAGAAACATTCAGATCAGATCAGACAGATTCAGATCAGATCAGAAAGATTCAGATCAGATCATATCAGATCAGAAAAATTCAGATCAGATCAGATCAGAACTTAAAAAATTCAGATCAGAAACATTCAGGTCTAGGGATTGAATCTCCCATTGATGATTCTCTTGATAAAATTACCCTATCTACATTTATAAATAAAAACTAAAAAGCATGACATTTTTGGATTCAATCACAAGTAATATATTGTCATCTAGATAATTGTTCAAAAAAAAATCATTTGGATAATGTTAGTGTAAAAAACATAAACAAACAACATTTTCAAATCGGAAAACATGACATACATTGCCATTTTGAAGGGTATTGAGATAAAATGTACGAAGTAGTTAATCTCTAATCAATGTAAAAAACGTAAAAAGATAAACTCAATATTATAAAAAATTTGACCGAAATCAATAAAAAAATTAAAAATGAAGAACATAGAATCAAATTTGTAAAAAAATGAATGATATAGAAGTATAGAACAGAGGAGGAAGCAACAAGTTGCAGACCCGTCATTGTTTGAAAAATCACAGCAAGAATGATGCAGAGAAGGAGACGCAACATAAATGGTTTAGCGTCAGAGCAGATTATGTGAAATCATATTTAGAGAATGAATTATGAAACTCATATTTCAAAACTTCCTCTTTGTTTTAGTACAATTTCTTTTATTTATTCTGTATATTTTAGATTTTTCATTTTTATAAAATTGAAAGTTACAGACTAACACATTTCTCTGAAAGCTTCCAGATCTCTCCAAGCAAACAGATATAAAGAACACTTCCAAGTTCCAGTGCAAACACAATATCTATGTACAAACCCAAAGCCACAGACGCACACCACACTAAAAGCCAGAGATCCGATCTGCATTTTGTCTATTAAATTGTGGGTTCTGAACACATGGAGCCTTGGCAGGTCTTGGATTTACACTGGTTGCTTGTCCTTCAAATCGGCCTACTAAGGATGGCTGAATAACTGGCTGAACACGGCCCTGGGTAGCACCATAAACCTGCCCATATGCACACATTAGATTGCCTAGCTGCCCATTCTGCCACCGATATTCGAACTGAGGCTGCAAGCTTATACTATAGTTGCTATGGCTTCCGGTATGGGATGCACCAAGAAAACTTGACACTTGCGGGCCCACAAAAGAAGAAACGAGCAAGCTTGGATCTTGATTGGGAGACAAAAGCAGATTGTAGGTTTCCTGGAAAGTCTCTGTTATCCTTCTGAGTTGTTTGCTGTTTACACTCCTTGCTGCATTCACTGGCTGTTCAAAAGGGTCTTCAATCTGTTAACCAGAATTTCAACTGATTCAGAAGCATATTGGGCCACTTGAAGATCTACACCTAGGCTCTATTTGTAAAAGATGGATATGGTGAGAGGCGATTACAATTAGCGGATAGTTATTAGGTAACCATCTCATGTTGACTTTAATGTCCTCCCACCGCCCAGTGTATGGATTAATCCCTTGCTTAGTGGCCCTTGAGCTTAAGTCGCAGAACTGTAGCATCAATAAAGGTTACCATTGTGGTGACGGTCAAAAACACAAAACTTTCTTAACGTGATAAAGAAGTCATCATATACCTTGGCAAGGAATGAGATGAAAAGACCAGATAGAGAACTCTGGTTATGAACTCTGGACCAATTATGCATGAACCGGTTAATATTGAATGCACATATTTCCTCTATATTCTTCTCTGCAATGAACCTCACACCTGCAAAAGAGATTTCCCAAAAAGATATGCATATTGAGCTATAATGCTCTAAGACTCTAATGAGTAATACAGAGATTTAAAAAGGTAAGATCTATTGCATAACTGACTAGAAGAACTCATGACCTCATAAAGGCATCCAATTTACTACACTTCACGGTAAAATGACATTCTTAATAGGAAAAGATGAATAAACCCCTACAATCGAACTGTTTGATGTGGAGCACCTTTAAGATCATCCGAAATATTTCCGGGGTAAATCTCCTTCAGTGGAGGTAAAATCGGAGGCACGCATGTCTGCACAAAAATATGGTACAGTTAGATCAACCTGACAACTTGCAGGAATTATTTCACTGAATGCAAGTAAAACAAAAATCACCTGAAAATGGAAGATGACGAGCAAGCTGAGAGAATATGAGTTCAGAGTTCCACATTTTGAGTCATTGATATTATGCGCCTTTGCCCATTCTTTGACCTTTCAGAAGACAAGGGTTTTAAAACTCTTACACAAAGAGGTAAGGTAAATCTATTAAAGCCGTAATGGAAAATGTTATGTAATGTAATCAAATGCATTTGTGATAAAAAATTGTGCTGAAATATTTGATTCATTACATTTCAGTATGGGTTGGTCATACCAATAAAACCATGTCACGAAACCGACCATCGATCAAGTTGATCCAGTACATCAATTTTGACTTCATTTGACCAACCCAATTACTTATTGATAAATCGAAGCAGATGTTGTGCTTTCCATGAAACATCAGAATGGGGACTCTTGCGTTTCTTATTAATTTAAAACTATGGTAGCCACCTGCAAGATGAAACAATGCTCACAATCAGCTCTTTTTTGCTTCAAAAGATATAAAAAATCATTTCGTGGAGGTAAAAGTCAGATTAGTTTCCCAGAAACCGAGCCAAGAATAACATACACCACCCTCTGTTCCTTATTATCTGTGCTTTTATAAAATCTATGCACATTTAATATGTTTCTTCCAAATCCTTCCGTTATTAAATTATGAAAAAAGAATAAGAGGGAATATTAAGTAATTATACTCCACCTAAATGAGGGTATTTTAGGAAAGTTTAAAATATTTTGATTAACTTACCACTACAGACGTTTTCTCAAACTCAGTGTTTTGGACAAAGGAGACAGATAAATAGATAGTCATACAAATAGCGTATATACCTCTACTTCTCAATGCTTTTAGTACATCTCTAAGTAATTTTTGCTTCTCCATCTTAGTAGTAGCAGAAGCATTGCCCCCCAACTCAATACATAAGTCAAGATCTCCCCATTTTGTGAAGTGATCCGACACAAAGGATCCATATGCTTCCACTGTTGCACCTGTTTGCTTCCACATTACATGCAAAAGCAAACAATATTGTAAATAAATTTAAAAAGTTAACACATAAAGACACACAGAAACAAATAGAAAGAGATATGCATGTTTTACTAACTATCAAATACTACCCCTAAGACTTTGAATGGTTTGAACAATAGTTTGAAGTTCGTTGATGCCTTGAAATCTCTTAGACCAGTCCTCTTTTGAGGGATTGATTGTGCAAAGAACTTTGCGTAGAGTAACGTCCAACAAACCATTCCCATTCATTTTAAGCGCTGAAAAAAGACAACTTTGTCAAATCTCAAATGTAAGAATAAAATTATCCACACCAAGAGTTGGGTATGTAATTCAAAGCAAGGAGATTTAAGTCATTTAACCTTTGCTCATATGCTCTAGATAAGTAGTTAAGTACATATACCAAGTACCAACCGAAAAAACACCTGGAATCAGAGAACACTTGTGCTACTATTCTACTGCCCAAAAACCCGAAATGAAGAGAAGAAGATCTCAAGATAATATGTTTTAGTCTATTACAAATATTATTTGAATATTTCTATAAATATAATTAATATAATAATTGCAGAGCTTTGGAGGACAAAAAAATGACTTTGGTATGGATTTCGATGCTGCATGATCTCTTTACTTCTCAACCCATCATGGGTACATACACACACAAAGTATATGTCTTAAGGGCCTTGGTACAAGATCTAGTCCAAGGTCGATGATTCTGAGCACGAGAAAAATATGAATCTATGGTGCCTTAAATATTAATCGACTCCCGCCCTCGGCAAGGTGTTTGTCGCAGGTTCCACCGTGCGCCAAATAAAAATTAATATTCTAAAGCTAATCTCATTATTCCAACTGATAAGCCTCAAATAGGCAAAAGACAAGTTTCCTAAAACAATAATAGGAAAGAAGTAATAAAGAAGCTCCTAAACTAGTATAAGGAAACCTGAATAAATAAACTAGTATTAGACTCAAAAAGTAGGAAACTGATTTAATTAATTAAAATAGACTCAAAGTAGGAAACTGATTTAATTAATTAAAATTTTGAGGACCACTCAAGCTGGTCCCTTCTTTGACCGCCTCTGGTAGACTCTGCCAAATCGACCCATATCATCACCCCCCCCCCCCCCCCCCCCCCCGGACAACGAGCTTGTCCTCACGATCGAAATTGAGAAAATTCTCACGGAAGGAATCCAATGTTTCCCATGTAGCCTCTTCCAGTAGCTGTCCAGCCTAGTGGACAAGGAGTTCCCAACTACCCTGATATGGACGAACCTTCAAAATGGACAGAGGGCGGAGTGGGGGTGGCAGGTTGTTCAGTTCTGGTATGGTTCCCATCATTGCAGGTGTGTCCCCTCTGTGCGGCTTGAGTAGAGACATGAAAGACGTCATGAGTTTTGCTCGATGGAGGAAGTATCAGGCGATAGGCAGCTTGCCCTAGCTTCCTTTATCTGAAAGGGATAAAAAAACTTGGGTGAAAGCTTGTGAGTCTGCCTGATGAGTGACAATTGGCGATGTGGATGAATTCGGAGACAAAACCAATCACCTGGAGTGAATGACAAGTCCTGGTGGCCCTTATCGTATTGAAATTTCATGCATTCCTCAGCTTGGAGCAATCTGCTCTTGGCTGTGGTGAGGATGGAGTCGCGGTCAATGAGTGCTTGGTCCACTGCCTCGAGCTTGGCAGTGCCGAGCGTGAAAGAAAGTAGCTTGGGTGGGTCACGACCATACACTAACCTGAAAGGAGTATCACCTAAAGATGTATGGAAAGAGGTGTTGTAGCAATACTCCGTCCATGGAAGCCAATGAACCTAATCTCGGGAACAGTCGCCGGTGGTACAATAGAGGAACATTTCCAAGGTGCAGTTCACCACCTCAGTCTGACCATCTGTTTGAGGGTGGTAGGCTGAAGAAAATCGAAGTTGGGATCCACAAAGACGGAATAACTCATGCCAGAAGGAACTCACAAAAACTTTATCACGGCCAGAGACGATTGATTCTGGAAGGCCATGGAGGCGGAAAATTTCAGAGAAGAAGACTGCTGCCACAGAAACAGCCGTAAACGGATGTGCTGGTGCAATGAAATGAGCACCCTTAGATAATCGATCAACAGCCACAAAAACAACAGATTTTCCCCAAACCTTGGGCAATCCTTCGATGAGATTCATAGATATATCTGCCCAAATGTGATGAGGAATGGGCAGGGGCTGCAACAAACCTGCAGGCTGGAGGTTCAGCATATGTGTTGTAGACACACTTGGCAATCCCGTACATGGTCAGTGATGGTCTTTTTCATGCCAGGGCAATAAAATTCGCGACGCACCCTCTGTAACGTCTTAGCACTACTTTCATGGGCCATGGAGTGGAACAAATTGACTATAGTTGGAACTGCAGCAAAAGATGGCAGTAAGTACACTTTGTATTGGAAAAACAGCAAGGCACCTTCGTCAAGCTGGCGTCGAAGAGCTCCAATTTCTGACAAGGCAACTTGTTCCTTAAGGATATCCTCAAGCTGTCAAGCAATGTTGTATAATGAATGGACAACGCTACTAGGTGAGGCTGAGACTCATCACGGCGAGATAAGGCATCTGCAACCGTGTTGTACCGACCGGGTTTCTACCCGGAAATTATACCCCATCAACTTACTGAGCCAATGTTGTTGGGGAGAAGTCGTTAAGCGTTGCTCCAGTAAGTGTTTCAAGCTAGAATGATCGGTATGAATTAAAAATTCTTGCCCCCCGAGGTACGATCACCAATAGGTTACTGCCTTGGCCAACCCAGTCAATTCCCGCTTGTATGCGGCTAATTTGATGCGACTGTGTGCTATCTTGCGGCTGAAATACATGACGGGATGACCCTCTTGTTGCAAAACTGCCCCAAAGCCACTCCCTGAGGCAACACATTCAATGAAAAATGGAATTGCAAAATTGGGCAGTTGAAGTACAGGAGCTGTGGCTAAGCAATGTTTAAGTGTGTTAAAGGTACCAGTGGCCTCCTCGGTCCAATGGAATGAATGTTTCTTTAAGAGTTGCGTGAGTGGCAAGGCAACCTCCCCATAATTTTGATAAATTTACGGTAGTAGCCAGCCAGGCCAGGCCTAGAAACCCACGCAAGGCTGTTAGAGTCCCTGGCAGAGGCGAGTCTTGGATGGCTTTAACTTTCTCCTGGTCAACCTTGACACCTTTTTCGTGAATGATGTGACCCAAATACTGCACACTATCAGTTCCAAAATAGCATTTGGAGCGTTTAAGAAATAGCCCATGTGCTCGGAGGATATCAAAAACTAGGCAGACATGACGGATATGCTCCACCAAGCTCTTACTATAGATTAAGATATCATCGAAGAAGACCAAAACAAACTTCCAAAGATAAGGGCCAAAGATGTGATTCATGAGGCTTTGGAAGGTGGATGGGGCGTTAGTGAGGCCAAAAGTCATGACCAAGAACTCAAAATGACCATGGTGTGTTCGGAAAGCTATTTTGGGAAGGTCCCCCTCTTAGGCCACTCGAATCTGGTGGGGGGCAGACCGGAGATCCAACTTCATAAAAACTTTTGCCCCATGGAGTTCATCCAACAATTCATCGATCACCGGAATTGGGTATTTATCCTTCACTGTTTTACTGTTCAACTCTCTGTAGTCGACACAGAAACGCCACGAGTCATCATGCTTCTTAACCAAGAGCACTGGAGAAGAGAATGATGAATGACTAGGTTGAATGATCCCTTGTTCCAACATCGCGGCGCATTGTCGCTCAATCTCACCCTTTTGGAAGTATGGATAACGGTAGGGGCATAACACAACAGGACCACAACCAGGAACTAAAGTAATGCTATGATCGCATGGTCGTGGTGGTGGCAGACCGCGCGGTTCTCGGAATAAATCCTGGAAGCTGCAGAGAATGCCTTCTATGGGTGAATGTTCACGTGAAGTGGGAAGTGTCATGTTTGTTGGTTTGCAGTAGGTCGTTGGTTTGCCCTGCCATATGACGGTTGCACCCATCCAACGGAATTGCATAGACAGATTGTGAAAATTCCATACGATTGCGCCTAAGCCTCGTAACCGATGGACCCCCAAAATGATATCAAAACCAGTCATTGGAAGAACATAAAAATCAGCATGGAAGGGAACTCCCAAAACCTCAAAAGTTAATTGAGGACAGCTACCTAAAATAGGGACCTTTTCGCCATATGCCACCACCACAAATAAAGAATTGTCCGTGGAGGAACTGTACTCGAGTCCTTGAGCCAATCGTGCATGCACAAAATTATGTGTGCTCCCAGAGTCGACTAGAATCAGAACTGGTTTACCTCGTGTAGGTTTGAAGAATTAATCTTCCTTGTATATTATTGAGCCATCCGGCAATGATATATATACAAGTTTACAGATAAACTAAAGTTGTTACAGATCCTAAATATTAGGATCTATCTATTCTTATCTACACTGCGAGCTAATCTAAGAATTAGAGACCTAAATCAACTCTAATTCCTATCTATACAGTTCCGGATGTACACATAATAAAATAACATGTATATGCTACATTTTTCTACACTCCCCCTCAAGTTGGTAAGTATATATCATACATTCCCAACTTGCTTATAAGAAATTCAAACACTGGTTTAAACAGCCCCTTTGTAAAGATATCAGCTGTTTGTTCTTTAGTAGATATGAATGGTGTGCACACAATTCCAGCTTCAATCTTCTCTTTGATAAAATGCCTGTCCACCTCAATGTGTTTAGTACGATCATGTAGCACAGGATTGTGAGCAATATTAATGGCTGCTTTATTGTCACAATATAACTTCATAGGTAGGTCCATTTCCATATTCAACTCTGTCATCATTCTCTTGATCCAAAGTAGTTCACAGATTCCATTAGCCATAGATCTAAATTCAGATTCTGCACTACTTCTGGCAACAACATTCTGCTTCTTACTCCTCCAAGTCACCAGATTCCCCCATACATAAGTACAATACCCAGATGTAGACCTTCTATCAGTTATTGAACCAGCATAATCTGCATCTGTAAAGGCTTCTACACTTCTATTGTCACTTCTTTTAAAAAATAATCCTTTCCCTGGACAGCTTTTCAAATATCTTAGGATCCTGTAGGTAGCATCTAGATGTTCCTGGAATGGATTATGCATGAACTGACTAACCATACTGACTGCAAAGGCAATATCTGGCCTTGTATGTGCCAGATAAATCAACCTTCCCACCAATCTTTGATATTGGTGAATATTAACTGGTACTCCTTCCTTGACATTTCCTAACTTTTGATTAGGGTCAATTGGAGTATCTATTGGTCTGCAGGCACTCATACCTGTTTCATGAAGTAGGTCTAGTACATACTTCCTCTGGGATACCACAATTCCCTTCTTTGATCTGGCTATCTCCATGCCAAGAAAATACTTCAATTCTCCCGGGTCTTTGATTTCAAATTCCTGAGCAAGCTTCTTCTTCAGGTCTTCAATCTCTTCACAATAGTTTCCTGTGAGAATTATATCATCCACATAAACAATTAGTACTGCAATTTCCCCCTTAATGGAGAATTTCATGAATAGTGTATGGTCTGCTTGGACTTGCTTGAATCCCTGCTTCTTTATGAATTGAGTAAACCTTTCAAACCAAGCCCTTGGGGACTGTTTAAGTCCATATAAGGCTTTCTCCAGCTTGCACACCTTTGAGCCATATTGTTCCTCAAACCCAGGAGGGGGGCTCATGTATACTTCCTCTTCAAGCTTCCCATTTAGGAAAGCATTCTTCACATCTAACTGTTGAAGAGGCCAGTCTAGGTTAGTAGCTAGAGATAGTAGGATCCTTATAGTATTTAATTTTGCAACTGGAGCAAAAGTTTCAGTATAATCTATGTCATAGGTTTGTGTGTATCCTTTGGCAACCAACCTGGCCTTATATCTTTCAAGTGTACCATCTGCCTTGAATTTAGGGGTAAACACCCATTTGCATCCAACCCTTGGTTTGTTTTTGGGTACCTCTACAGTCTGCCATGTCTGATTCTTTTCAAGGGCATTCATTTCTTCTAAAACAGCCTTCTTCCACTCAGGTATAGATAGGGCTTCCTGTATGGTTAAGGGAATAGAAACAGTGGAAAGGCTAGAGGTAAAGGCTGCAAATGATGTAGATAACTGAGAATAGGACAGATAGTTTGAGATAGGGTATTTAACACATGACCTTTTTTCTTTTCTGAGAGCAATGGGTAGATTTAGATCACTGAAATTATTACCTTTGTCATTTTCTGGCATTGAGTCAGATTCATGGACAGTGGCAGGATCAGGGATGTCCTCTATTCTGTGATTTGGAACTCTCCTTTCATAAACCTTGCCAAAAAACTTACTTGTCTGCTGTTCATCATCTTTCCTTGTTTCAGAAAAAAAAAAATCATTTTCTTTTGACTCTTGACTATTTTCTAGTGCATCTAACTGTCTATTATATTGTGCATCTAGATTAATGTCAAGAGATTCTAGTTTTTCATGGATATGTGACACATTATTACCATCTTCATTAGGAATCTCCCCTTGAAGATGAGTACCAAAAAAAGGTTGATCTTCTACAAAAACAGTGTTCATAGTTATAAACATCTTTTTTGTTATAGGGTCAAAACATTTATAGCCTTTCTGAGTTGAAGATAGTCCTAAGAAAACACATTTTTTCCCTCTAGGGTCAAATTTACTTGCAGTTCTGTCAGGATTGGTAATAAAAACTGTGCACCCAAAAATTTTTATGGGAAGAGAATTAATTAGTCTAGTTTCAGGAAAACTAGCTTGAAGAGTATCAATAGGAGTTTTGAATCCTAGAGTTTTTGATGGCATCCTATTAATTAGATAGGTAGCATGTAAAACAGCTTCTCCCCATAAATATTTTGGAATTTTAGCAGAAAACATAATTGCACGAGTGACTTCAAGTAAATGTCTATTTTTCCTCTCAGCTATTCCATTCTGAGCAGGTGTATTTACACAGGAACTTTGATGAATAATCCCTTTTTCAGCAAAAAAATTATTTAACTTCTTAGAAAAGTACTCAAGACCATTATCACTTCTCACAATTTTGATATTAGTGTTGATTTGAGTTTGGATCATTGAGTAAAATTTTTTGAACACTTCTTCAATCTCAGATTTTTCTTTAAGTAAAAACACCCATGTGACCCGTGTGTGATCATCTATGATAGTTACAAATCACCTTTTTCCTTTCAGAGTTGAAACTCTAGATGCACCCCAGATATCACTGTGTACAATAGTAAAAGGACTAGTTGGTTTGTAACTATGAGGGATGTAAGAACTCCTATGATGTTTGGCAAGTGCACACATATCACAATGAAATGATGAAGGATTTTTATTAAGAAATAACTTAGGAAACAACATTTTCAGATAAGAAAAACTTGGGTGACCTAATCTATAGTGCATTAAATACACCTCATTATTACAAGGAAAGAAAACAGTTTGCAAACAAGTTTTTTCTTGACCTTGTTTATTCAATTGTGTTCCTTCATCAAAAGTATAGAGACCATCCTCCTCTCTAGCACTGCCAATGCCAATCATCTTCCCTGATGCCAGATCCTGAAAAATGTAATAAGAGGGAAAAAATTTTACACAACACTGAAGATCTTTAGTAATTTTGCTAATAGAGATAAGATTGCAGGAAAGTTTTGGAACATGTAAGACTTTGGAAAGGTTAATGGATGAGGAAATTTTAATATTTCCCATCCCTGCTATGGCTGAAAAAGAGCCATCTGCAACTCTAACTTTCTTATCTCCTGCACAAGGTTGATAAGAAGAAAAAAACTTTGGAATGTAGGTCATGTGGTCTGTTGCACCTGAGTCAATGACCCAGGTGTTTTTAGGTTTTTCAGAACAAAAATATGATGTTATTTTACCATTTTGGGCAAAAGAAGGTAGGGTTTTCTTGGTTGGAGATTTTCTGGGTGGGTATGAATTTGAGTAGGTACTCTATCTGTGCCTGAGTGAATGGTAGCTGTTTAGATTCAACTCCTGCCTCTTGTTGAGTCTCAGTCACAGTAGTTTGTAGGGCCCTTTCTACTTTCTTCTTCCCAGCTCCTGGTGGTTTTCCATGGAGTTTCCAGCATGTATCCCTTGTGTGCCACAGTTTCTTGCAGTGATCACACCAAAGTTTTTTCTTGTTGTCATCACTTCTGGCCACCAAAGCTGAAGATTCCCCAGGTTCCTCATTAGGTACTGGAGTGTTGTACATGACCCTCCTCCTGCTATCTTCCAACCTGATCTCAGAGAAGACCTCTCTGATTGAGGCCAAGGGTTTCTTCCCCAGTATTCTGCCTTTTACTTCATCTAGGTCTCTATTCATTCCTGCTAGGAACATATAGACTCTGTCATTTTCCTCTCTCTTCTTGTGTCTTGCCAGATCCTTGGCACTTTCCCAGTCTTCAGCATCATAGCATTGATCCAATTCTTGCCATAGAGATACCATCTCATTATAGTATGAGATGACATCTCTATTTCCTTGTTTGGACTGCCACAACCTAGTTTTTTATTCATAGATCTGAGAAGAATTCTCAAGATCTGAGTAGGTTTCTTTGATTGAATCCCATACCTCTTTTGCAGTTCTCATGAACATGTGAGGTTTGGCAATTGATGCATCCATTGAACTGAGAAGCCAGGCTGTTACCAAAGAGTTCTCTGACCTCCAGACATTGTAGCCATCTTCACCATTCTTCTTCTCCTCTACTTCACCTGTTATGTATCCCAGTTTTCCTCTTCCATCTATTGCCAGTTTGACAGACTGTGACCACTCTAGGTAGTTGGTTCCATTCAATCTATGTCCCGTAATGAGCATAGATGAATTAACCGAGGCCTTATAATTTGTCATTTGGCTAATTTGGGGGTTAGGATGATGGGTTTGTGAGTGGGTGGAGGAATCAGAGTGTTCAGTGTCCACCATTATGGTGTTTTAAACAACAAAGCTCTGATACCATGTAGGTTTGAAGAATTAATCTTCCTTGTATATTATTGAGCCATCCGGCAATGATATATATACAAGTTTACAGATAAACTAAAGTTGTTACAGATCCTAAATATTAGGATCTATCTATTCTTATCTACACTGCGAGCTAATCTAAGAATTAGAGACCTAAATCAACTCTAATTCCTATCTATACAGTTCCGGATGTACACATAATAAAATAACATGTATATGCTACATTTTTCTACACCTCGCAAGGAAGCTGTAATTTGCATTGTTGTGGGTGAACTGGAACCTGACATGGCATTGAGGGACAGGGCAAAGTCAGAATCTATTGTTTCATCGCCTTCGTCATCCCAGATTTCTAATGCAAAAAGCTGCTTGCAGCAATGAAAGCGAACATAACGTTCATCACAATGATAGCAAAGACCTTTGGCTTGGTGACTGGCTGCCTCTGCTCTGGAAATCCGACGACGCCAAGCGGAGGCTGCTGTGGTTCCTCAACGGTCTGCCTTGGATTTGAAGCAATGAGATTGGTTTGGGATGCGATGGGTAGATGGGATTGTCTTGGTTGAGGTCATGTGGCTGGAAATAGTGCCGCAGATTGTTGTTTGCGCTCAATCTGCCTGGCCAGATTCATGGCAACGTCCAAGCTTCCCGGAGCCTGAAACTCCAATTCCAAATGGATTTCCTGACGAAGGCCTGCCAAGAATGCGTTGACTTCAAATTGACTGGGAAATCCGTCCACACGCGCCAACAGTTGCTGAAACAAACTGATATATTCCCCTACTGTCCCCGTTTGTTTGAGTGGAAAAAGATCTCCCGAAGGGTTGGTGTTTACCGTTTGTTTGAGTTGAAAAAGATCTCCCGAAGGGTTGGTGCTTAAAGGCGGTCCAAAACAAAGGAGACAACTTTCAGAAAAGGTGTTCCAGGATATACCTGCACGCAGTTTATCTGCCCAGAGTTGAGCATCGCCTGTCATGTGAAAAGTAGCTAATCCGACACGTGTGATGGGGGCTGTCTGTTGATGTGAAAAAAACGTTCACAACACCTCAGCCAGCTTAGTGGGTCACTTGTACCATCATAGGTAGGAAAATCAAGTTTGGAATAGCGGGGCACAATGTTATTCTCGCTACTGACTCGACGGTGGTGTTCCTTAAACTCCCTATTATCACCCTGGGATCCGGAGGGGCTGTTGCTGTTGGAATCCGTCTGTGGACCTGCAGCTTTACTAGTCAGGGCGGCAAGTTGTGTGGAAAAAGATGTCACGAGATCTGTAATTTTTGCCTCAAGCGACCCTTGTCGCTGGTTAATATCTGCCATGAAGGTTTTGAGTGTCTCTGTGGTGACGCGATCGTTCCCCATCGTCCTGGATACTGATACCAAATTGTTAAGGGCATTGGTACAAGATCTAGTCTAAGGTCGATGATTCTGAGAAGAACGAGAAAAATATGAATCTATGGTGCCTAAAATATTAATCATCTCCCGCCCTCGGCAAGGAGTTTGTCGCAGGTTCCGCCGTGCGCCAAATAAAAATTAATATTCCAAAGCTAATCTCATTATTCCAACCGATAAGCCTTAATAGGAAAAAGGCAAGTTTCCTAAAACAATAATAGGAAAGAAGTACTACCTCCGTCCCTTAAAACTTTGCCAAAGTTGACCGGCGCGGAGAATAATAAAGTAAAAACTGTGTGGTTGAGGTTTGTGCAGAGGAGAGAGAAATAACAGAAACAACAAAATAAATGATTAAAAGGGAAAGTGGCAAAGTTTTTTGGGACGTAATAAAGAAGCTCCTAAACTAGAATAAGCAAACCTGAATAAATAAACTAGTATTAGACTCAACGTACGAAACAGATTTAATTAATTAAAATAGACTCAAAGTACGAAACAGGTTTAATTAATCAAAATAGACTCAAAGTAGGAAACTGATTTAATTAATTAAAATACTGAGGACCACTCAAGCTGGTCCCTTCTTTGACTGCCTTTGATAGACTCTGCCAAATCGACCAATATCAATATGATAGAGAACATGGTACCCTTAACCAACAAAGAAGATGATTCCTACCATTGTCAGGCTGGGTAAATTTAGATACCAGCTTCAGAGTCATTAAGTCATTTTTAATATGCTTAAACTCGGAGTTTCACTACAGTTTCTTAATGAGAGTTGTAGGCCAGTGAGTTATCTTGCAACACCAGATTGGACCGTATCCATAGGATCATATGATTCATAATATCATATTAGACCGAGGATACGACCAAAGAAGTAAACTTGTCAACAGACTGCTGCTGGAATGCCTTTTGATAAAGAAATTACCCTAAATAGGATAAAAACGTTTGTGAGTTCTAAGAGTACTGTGTTTTTATTCCCTAAACAGAATTGTTTATTGCCAAGTTTAGAAAATAATAATACCAAAACATAATACTTTTATTTTGAAATTTCCAAATGTTTTACTCCTATTTCGAGAATTTTTCCTTTTTGAAAACTTTGCTTTCCCAATCGTTGTCGGATCAGATTAGCTTTCCTATTTTTGTGCGAAAAAATCCCAAGTTCTATGACTTTATAAATTCGTTAATACCGAGTATATGATATACTCATCTTCTTAAAACAATTTTTAAATACCAAATCCTTGTGCTGCCAAAGTGTTATTCCACAACATAATACTACATAAATTAATAGTAAAACTATACTAATAATTATTGTTATTATTACATTGCCCGTAGTGGAATAGTAAGATTCAAATCAGAGCAAGAGAAAATTATGAAGGCAGAGTGTGTGAATGTGTGATGAAATCATATGAAGAAGATTCGTAGATTAGTTGACAAAGGCATGAAAGTTAAAAGGTAAGATAGTACCATAAATATTTGTTGTCGCCTCGCGGGCGGATTCAAAATCTGATCTGATAGCAGAAAAGAGAAAACCGACCAGCGTTTTAGGGGGTTCAAATTCAACTCGAAGAAGGTATTAATTAAGACGAGGAAGACAACCACGAATAAGAATAAGGGGTGGGCAAAAATGCACATAGATGCGGAACCGAACGGGTATGGTACGGGGGTTCTAAAGGGATCTCGAATTTTTTATTTCAGAGATGTTTATGGGTTCTAAACAATGTCTTCACCGATTCACATAAAATAATAACAATGTTCTAAACACTGAAGTATGATTTAATTATTTAAATTTATATTATCTTCCGTATCTCATTAATTGCAACATTGGAATATATACACTATTCATGTAATTTACTTTGACTACATTTTATTTATTAATGTATGTGAATTATTATTTTTGAAAAATGTTGTTAAATTCGTCTCATTACTAAATTTTATTTTATTTTTACTAATACATAATTAAATATAATGACGATCAAAGTTGTGCGTTGGCAAACGTAAAATGTTGACTGTTGAAACTAAAAAGAGACGGAGGAAGTACAGTGCCTATACCGTACGACCGGTATACGGTGAGCACCGTATACCGGTATACGGATTTATATTTTTTTTTCCTTTTGTTTTAAAAAAATGGTAATAACTTTTTTATTTTTGATCCGATTTTTATAAAATTTATATCAACATTTTTTATTTTTCATGATCTTTCAAATGAGACCAATATTGTCTATGTAATTTTAACATATTAACATTTGCGTGTAAAATATGTAACTTTACGTGTTAAAATATGTAACTCACGTTCAGTCATGCCAAATGCAACTCCTGTGTATAAATATGTATCTCTACGTGTAACAATATGTAACTTTACGTTAAAAAAATATGTAACTCGCGTTCAGACAAGTCAAATGCAACTCGTGTGTATAAATATGTAACTCGCGTGTATAAATATGTAACTTTACGTGTAAAAATATGTAACTTTACGTGTAAATATATGTAAGTCACGTTCAGGCATGTCAAATGCAACTCGTGTTTATATATATGTAACTCGTGTGTATAAATATGTAACTTTACGTGTAAAAATATGTAACTTTACGTGTAAATATATGTAAGTCGCGTTCAGGCATGTCAAATGCAACTCGCTTTTAAAAAGATGTAACTTGCTTATAAAAAGATGTAACTTGCTTATAAAAAGATGTAACTTGTTCATAAAAAGATGTAACTCAATGTATTATCAAATGTAACTGAGGCCACTGATCCACTCCCAAACAGATTCAATCTTCTATTTCACAAACCTATCATCTCCCAAACAGATTTGATTTTCCTTAAAATCCAATACTCATTAATATAATAGTTCGATAATTTCTTAACATTACATAAGCAATATTGGTCTCATTTGAAAGATCATGAAAAATAAAAAATGTTGATATAAATTTTATAAAAATCGGATCAAAAATAAGAAAGTTATCATCATTTTTAAACAACAAAAGCAAAAAAAAACAGGGAAGCTGCGTCGTTTTGCAACCGGGCGCATCATCCTCATGGTGCGCCGGTTGCACGGTATAATTTGCGGAGGAAGTATTTATTACTTTGACTAGTGCTTTCACACTTTCACATCCTTTGATAGTTCATAGGAAGCCTGGAACTAGACCGATCTATGGTTTAGTTATTTAAATTTGTACTATTATAGTTTATCTAAAATTTACTAATTATGTAATACTACCTCCGTTCCAAAAAGATTGATATATTTTGACTTTTCTTGGTCAATGGTAGTAAAGTTTAGACAATGATTTTAGGTATTATATTTGTTTGTAATTTATAAATTTTAAAGTTTTATGTAAGATTTTTTAATAAAGAATATGTTCATATAATTATCATATTTTAAATAATTTTGTATTCAAAGATATCATTGGTCAAACTTAACCATCATTGACCAAGAAAAGTCAAATGTATCAATCTTTTTGGGACTTAGGGAGTATTAATTTGGAGTTTGCAACTTTGAAGAGATTTTAATGTAGTTTTTGAATATGTAAATTTTAATTGTTAAAAATTGAATTAATTAACATTGGTTGACAAAAAATATAAACTATGCATATCAATTTGGGAGGAGTATGCAAATTGATAAATTGTCTGAATTTTTGGAGGATGGCTAAACTTTAAATTTCCCTTAAACACTTGGAAAAAGTGGCATTGTTTGGTATTAGTATGACATGGTATCGTCCCGTTTGAAAATGGAACCGTACTGAACGTGTTTAGGTCTAAGACCGAACCGAACCGTTTGAATAGTCACGGTACAGGTACGGGTTCAACCAAATATTGGACCGGATCGGACCGCGTCCACCCCTAAATAAGATATGAAATGACATCACTATAGTCCTTATTATACTCGTAAATTCTCAGTAGAATCCTAGTAGTAAGAGAATAGATCTAATGATTACTCTATTAAAGTTCATTTAACAAAAACCACGATTTTCATTGAATTTAAAAAATGTCACCAGCTATACGTTTCACCACACAGTCGACTGAAGGTAATTGAGAGACTCGAGTTTTTGGAGGGGTTTTTATGATGTGGAGGGGCTTTTAGTTTGAAAATGTAACTATTTTAAAAGATTATTTACAAAAAAACTGATATCAAATATCAAATCTTTGATTATTTAAAATTATTATCAATTTTTAATAAATATATTTAATTCAATCATGACTTTTAGTTTGGAATGACTAAAATACATCTTTGGAAATACTAAGAAGTTCCATAAAAACTCCGATAAATTTGATCAGAAGTTGATAAACATTGATATTATTAAAAGAAAATTGTGTCAATGACATGACAATGGTAAACCATAAAAACCCGTAAATTTGAAGAGCATAGATGGAGAAGCTCTTAGCGTGGGCAAGTCCTCTCTTCATCAAAACAACGTGCACGGTACACATGTGACATTAAAAAGATAAACATATAAATATTAGTAAGCAACATATTACTATTTATTTGAATGACTTTATATATTTTTATACGTTTTTCTGCATAATGTCAAGAAAAGTGTCTAGGGGTAGACATTGTGATAAACATTGTTGACAAAAGTTACCAAAATTATACTCCATAGAAAGAAAGAGAGACAAATAATATCATTGATTTGTTTATGTGTCTATCGCTCTCATATCATATGTGTTCTGTGCTTATTTTTGAATTTGAAATACTTTTAATTATAGTGATTTAAATAATTTAATTTTTAATTTTTGAATTCATGTCAAGTTATTCAACCACACCAAAACGTGCACGGATCTGCCAATTGATTGTTTCATTTTTGTGTCTCCATTGTTGTTTCAAAACGGTAAACGTGAAAAATAAATTAAATACACCATGGAAAAAAATGATTGTCTCATAATCACTAAGTTGGATGAGCATTTTTTAGAAGTCAAGGTTATCACTGGAAGAAGCATGACTGAACACTTTCTCATTCCAAGATTATCACTAATCCTTCATATGTGAGACTTCCATTCAAATTTCAGGGGAGACGATTTCCAATAATGGTTGCTTATGTGATGAAAGTCAAGGCCAATCTCTCTCTCTCTCTCTCTCTCTCTCTCTCTCTCTCATGTGGAGTTGTTGTTGAAGAACCCAATTTTCTCTCATGGTCAGCTTTATGTTGCGGTTTCTAGAGTTACCAATAGAAAAGGGCCGAAAATTTCATTGGTAATTTGTGATGAACAAAGCACAACACAAACTAGCAATGTTGTCTACAAAAGGTTTTTCAAGATTTGTAGATATAATGTGTGTTATTCCACTTTAGTTCTTTAATGGACAATTGCCTTCTAATTATCTGCATTGTCTTTTTGAGAATATTTCTTTAATTATCTGCATTTTAAATTTTTTGTTGATGCACGGGTGAGATACCATTAGTGAAAAAAAAGAAAAGAAAAGAACCCGCATGAGTATCTCAGTTGGTTGAGTGGTAGAAAACTTGCAATTGAAAGAATGATCAAGGATCGAAACCCGAGCGGTCTTGTGGATGTTACAACTCCTGCTTGCTAGGCTGGACCCCTGGTGCGCACGAGTACAAGATTTACCATCATTGAGCCATCGTGACGTACAACCTCCCAAAAGTTTTGTCTGATCAAGACGTGGGGCCCTTGGGATTGGGGGTGATGGAGTACGTATATGGCCCAGGAACCCCCGCCCCACATACTTCCACTACAATAATCAGGCCCAACAGGCCCAGATGGGCCAAGCCTGGCAAAACAAGACTCCAGGCGGCCCATGATACGCAATGTATGCCTTCGGACCCATGCCTGAAGGCTGTGCATTCATGAGATCAAGTCCAGAAACATCACAGGGGAACAAGGCTTGAAATTCAGGCCTTTGGCAAATATAGCCTTCGGCACATAATTCAGGCGCTCTTCTCGACAAGATCTGCTCTCCCACATGCGCTGAATCATCAGGTCAAGTACAACATCATGTCCAACCACCGCATTTAATGCGGTACACATGCGAGTGCCGGTGCCACCCCGGTTGAGGTGACCCTCGGCCGTCAGATGTTAGACATGTGTCCCCGCCTAGCATTTATGTCTGCTATAAATAACAGCCTATTTTCCCATTGTAAACCACCACGACACAACATTCTATATTCGAATACATACTCTCTCTCTTACTTATTGCTTTGATTTCTCTCTAAGTTATTCCCCGTAATAACCCTTCGGATAAGCTACTCCTCGGGTACACTATCCATCATTTGGCGCTTTCATTGAGAGCTCGAACAATCAAGTAAGAAACCCTCCCCTTCAAAAGACGAAAACCCCCATCGAAATGGGAAGAACCACTCGTGCCTTGTCCAAGACCATTGAAGACAACAACCTGGCCCTCGGCGAGGTCGACACCACCGGTGCCTCCAACAGGGCTCCTGAGGGCGAAGTCATCGTCGGGTTAGAACAGACTGCCGTCGACCTACATCTCCAACTCCAGAAGAATGCCCCCGATGCCCGCCTAGGTTAGCCCCCCGGTCCTAACTATCGACGTGCAGTCGGCTTTTTCAACCTTCATCCACACTCTCACTCATAATCCAGGCGCCCTCGGTGCGCTTGTGCCACCGCAGGCCCACGTGGGGGAGAATATCATTCCTCTCCCACCACTGCCCCCCCCCCCCTTCGTGTGCCCGGTTCCAAGGACCGGAAACGACGAAGGGGTCGTTGCTCAGGACACCGCCTCCCAAGAAGTCCAGTCCCGGGACCAGCGCGGTGCGAACAGAGATAG